TTACAGTTTTTCTATAAAATTGATAGTATTTGAATAAAAAAATTATTGAAGACCAATTTTTGGCAATTTTTAGTAATTAATATCTTGATAACTATTGCGAAAATTGCAAAATGGTAGAGGACTTTTTGACTTAGTTTAATCTGCTCTACCCGCTCATGAAATATTTGACAATTATTTTAAGACACCATGTATATTTCTTTTAATATATTGTAGTTCAATTTTGAGCTTGTCTTTCTTATTACGACGTACCATTTTCTATTTCGAAAGATAAACTAAAAATTTCATTCGTGCACACACACACAATTGTAGTGTTTAAAATTCTTGTTAGAATATCTGTTAGATATTCTAACAAACTAGAGACGAACTTATACGACGAATAAGACAGGAAAACAGAACGCGTCTACATTATTATTATTATTATATATAGCCACCCCTCAACTTTCTATTATATCATGCAATAGGATAATGTTATAATACGTCACTTTGCGAAAGCGTCCAATAAATAATATTTCAGAAATAGAAAAGTGATGGTTTAGTATCAGACACGATCTGACATCACTAGATTGGTAAACTTTGACAGTAATAATTTCAGACATCCTATAATTTCATATTATTTAAGCCACGACTTACATGTTAAGGAATCAATAGCATATGTAGCGCGTGTCATTCTGTTGTAGTCTTTCAATGAGAAACTAAGACGAATAATCATGCTAGAAAATTTTCTGCGAGAGTATAACGTTAATCGGATATTTCTGTCGAGCATGGGTCTTTGGCCATTTCAAAATAGGTTCATCAGAAATTTTTTACGAACTTTCTTCTTTTTGATCGAAATAAGTTATTGTCCCTTCGAGGTAATCGTATGGATTGATATATTTTAGACAGATACAATTTGTTTTTTTTTTTTAGTTTTAAATCTTTTATGAGATTTAAATATAATATACATATATTACATCGTTAGTGAGCTTTATGTGTGTTCCTATCATGAAAAGTTTACAATGCAACATATTTAATGTAATAATTAATAATTCAACTAATTAAACACACCCAAATGTGCGTGTGTGCATGCGTGCGTGTGTGTGCGTGTGTATAACATTTTACATTTAATGAATCATGCACAATTCTATACTTATTTATTTAAACGTAACATATTTTACGGATGATAATCCAACGTGACACGCAGATATTATTATTGTACGATCATTTGGACAATCCACAAATGGTTTTTGATGCCAGTTATCAATTTATGATGTCGATTTCTTTCATTGGGAGGCAGATAAATGAGTTCTGGAACCACGACAAGGCAAGTTTTTATAACTGTAATGTGTTACATTTGTTTTCCCTTTTTACTTATGTTTATACTGCGGTAAAACTATTTCAGACTTAACATGTTAAACCGTTTCCATGTTTGTTGCAATCAGTTGCGACGGTTGTACAAAGCAATTGATCATCATTGGGATATATTTACGAATGATACGGATGTTCAAGTTATGAAAAATTATTCTACGCTATCACGAAAATTTACAAAATGTTATTCGGGTAAGTATTGGAAGACTAATATTGAATATATTGACTATATATTGAATATAGCCAGAGGCATATCTAAGGTATGGCAGGCATGAAACGTGCCCTGGGCGCCACTTGAAGTGGGGCGCCAAATCGTGCAAAATAGTTTTTATTAACTCAGTACGATTCAATGTATTTCCTCAAATACGGTATACATTATGAATCAAAATATCAATCTGACAATCGAATTTTATTTCTAAATTTTTGTTGAAAAATACCGTTTTATTCATTAAAATAAACTATCAAATATTTCATTAATATAATTTTTTTATTCATTAAAAGATAATTATAATTATACTTTACAAAATTTGAAATATTTTTAATTGTAATGTTTATTTCAAAATATTAATGTAGCATAAATTATAAACATGTAATCTTCATAACAATTTAATTGGTAAGAGCCAAGTTTATTTTTTGCAATGTGGAAGGTCAAGGTTTAATAATTATTTAAGTCAATTATTTTGTCTTAAATAAATCTCTTTTTGTGTAAATCTTTGTGTGCAAATTTTCTCGTAAAAATACATTTCCTTCCATCTTTTCATACTTCTTTTTTTCTTAGTAACGATAAACTTTTGCCTGAAAAAATTAACTTTGAACAGAGATCAATTCACAATGATGAAAAGAAAGAAAGGTGCAGTTAGTTTTTTAGTCGTAATGTAAGTTGTTATAATGTAAATGTAATGTAATGTAAATAAATAAAAGAGAAACATACTTGACTTTTTGAACTAATATTATGTAAAATTATCTAAAACATGAATTTCAAATATTTGAATAGGGGTGTAATTTGTTTGCCATAGGAACTATTTTCCGTAGATATGTCTCTGAATATAGCATCATACGATGTTAAAATATAACACAATTCTCTTTTGGAATATTGCAGTGCTAATGTTTAGCTTAATGTTGATACTTTTATTAATACCATTAACACCAATATTGCTAGACGCTGTGATGCCCCTTAACGAATCACGTCCGCGATTCTTTGCGATTGAAGTTGAGTTCAGAGTGAATAAAGATGATTACTTTTTACCAATTTTATGTTATACAACTGTAGCAGTTCTGGTAGGTGCAAACGTCGTGATGGGCGTTGATGCAATGCATATCGCATGCACCGCTCATGCGTGTAGTTTATTTGCCGCTGTCAGGTAGATCAATTAAATATTGTAATAATATTGTTATAAATATTTTATAAAATATTAATTTTAAATATATTTTCCGTACACACATTTTACGACATATATATGTCATTTATTAGCTACTAAAAAAAAACATATTTTATTTTAAATCAAAACAATAATACAATGGATAGATTCCCACGAATAAAATTTAAATCATCAAAACGTAAAAAGGCTAAAAAGCCAAGCTTGATGTTCCTGTTACACAATATTTACATGTTTATTGCGGAATAACAATTATAAATATATACAAATGTTTTGACCTTTATATATCAGGTCATCATTAGTATGATAAAATTATCGCTACCGATTTACATTTCAAAATTTTAATATAAAGAGAGAGATTATATTAAGACTCTTGTACCGAGATTATATTAAAACTCTTGTATTCAGACGCAAACAATTGTCATTAAAATGAATTTTCTATAGAAATCTTGTATTTTGTGAATAACAATGTGTATCGGTATAATATTAGTTTATTCTCTGCATTCGATATATCATATCTAATATTACATCGGCACTCATCATTATTCATTACAAAATACAAAGTTTCTGTAGAAAATTCATTCTAATGACAATTGTTTGCGTTCGGAGTATAAGAGTCTTAATATAATCTCGGTCTTTATATAAAAATTTTGAAATGTAAACCGGTAGCGATAATTTTATTACACTGATAATGACCTAATGTAAAAAGGTCGAAACGTATGTATTTATAATTGTTATTCCGCAATAAATATATGTATAAACAAAAAAATAAATGTATAGTGCGAATTAGAAGCTTGACTCCTTAGCCTTTTTACGTTTTGATATATACGTATTATTTAACTCTTGTGAGATATTATTTACAGCAAACGAATCGAGAATCTAATTTCGAAAGCGAATAACAATAAAGAAAGTAGCAAATGTAGATATCGTATGAATATGGAACTTGATCCATTACATGAAAAATTAATGTATAGAGAATATATAATATGTTTAAAGAAACATCAACTTGCTATAGAGTAGGCTTTTTATATTTTTCATTATCCTCCTCTAAATAAAATGTTTGTCTCTATCCTCTCTCTTTTTTGCATACACATACACACGCACGCACGCACGCACGCACGCACGCACGCATCCACCCACCCACTCACTCACTCTCTCTCTCTCTCTCTCTCTCTCTCTCTTGCTGTACTAATATAACACTGTTATATAATATAATATTATTGTTATATAAATTAATTTATATTAATTTCCCCAATCTAGGTTTGTTAATACATTGGAATCATCATATCAAGGACTTTCATTACTTCTATTAATCTTGCTTGTTGGAACTATAAGTTTGATTGCAACTCGAGTAAGCTTCAGAAACTATTTATATAAAATATCATACATAAATGTAACTGTACAAAATGACTAATAAATAGTCGAATTTTTCTTTTGGTAAATGTTGACAATAAGGGATCGAAAACTCCGATAACTTTGACCTTGACATATATTGTCGTGACTCTGAGTAACCTTCATAAGATTTCATCTTATGCTCGTTCTTCGCTAAAAATGTTATTTTCATCGAAGCGACGTCGATTCCATTATCATTTCTGACTGCGTTGACATATTACCATCAATTGGCCATCACGAGAACTCGAATTCCATTGAGTTCAACGCGACAGACATCGTATGCTGTCTCACCGGGATCGTCCCGTTTGACCATATTCCAATTGACCACGAATAGTAAATGGCCACGTTGCGATTGACTACGAGTTGCAATTTACCACGTCCCGATAATAAAATTGACCACGTTGCGATTGACCACGTCTCGATTGACCACGAGTTGCAAATGATCATGTTAAGTTAGGTGATAATTTTATACAGTTAATAATAATTATACAGTTTATATCTCAACACAACTACCTAAAAAATCAATAAAATTAGGCTTATTCGCATTTTTGCATGAAATGAAAGAACCTGGCAGAAAAAAGTGTCGCCTAAAAGTTACAGCCTAGATAGTAAAAGACCACTCTAAAAAGACTGTTCTCACATCTCACTGTCTTCATGGGTTAGAAATATTCCAAGCAGATACTGTCTACGCTGCAACTTCTAGACGGTTAATACCCAAGTAGGTAGGATACGTTTTTTTTTTTATTCGGGGCGGCTACGTCCTAGTACTAGTCTATACATCCCACTATCTACACAACAGATTTTCTAATCTCAACAACAGTATAATTATAGAAATTGTGCACCCCTTTGCAGAAGGAGAGGAAAAAGGAGTGAAAGTAGCTTTGCGTGAATATATAACTTATTTATGTTTTTTCATCATCTACTAATAGTTTCCCCGTTGTTCCGATCACTATTGCGTCTGATTGAATCTGTGAGCAATCGAATCGTGCACAATTGGATTCGTGTGAAATCGGGTCGGTGGACAATCGGGTCGATGCGCAATTAGGTCGGTGGGCAATCGGATCCATGTGCAATCAGGTCTGTGTGCAATCGGATTGGTGCGCAATCGGATCTGTGTACAATCGGGTCCGTGTCCTAATGCAACGCTGTATGTCCGATCGAGTCCGTATTCGATTGGGTCCGTGTCCGATTAGGAAAAACTGCCATGTTCGATCGATAATATGCGCAATCGAGCCTCACTCGCTGCGTTCGGGGAGCCTGCTATTAACACTATTTGTGTCATACTGTCCTGTCGCGTGTAATGGATGATGAAGATAGAATGATATAAATAGCACTAGCAGCTCTTCGAACACAGTTAATAGTATTATGTGAAGGTCAAGGTTATCGGAGCTGATTCCGTATTGTCAACATTTACCTTTCCTTTTTGTAATCTTCCAAATCGAGGTTATTTCACAAGTGATTTTTTGTTCAATTTCGTATATAGATGAGATAATTTATCCAGTCGATACAAATTGAAAGTAACATAATGTCAATGTTATAATATAATTTCGCACTCCACAATATAATTGTTATGTAACACTATGTATTATAATACATTCATATTGTAGACTACGAAATTATAACATTGATTGACGTTATGTTACTTTCTTTGTGTCGATTGGGCAGATTTTAATTTTGATAGTAATTAGATAAATAACTGATGAATAAAAATATAAAGGATATATACAAAAATTTTGAGCAAAAATTGAGAACAAAAAATTATGATTATATTTATGTTAAACTTTATTAATAATAATTCGTAATAAGTTATTACATATTGTTAAATTCCTCCGTTTTTTGCAAAATTTCTAATTTTATTAAACTTTTGTTATCGTGAATAAAAATATTATTATATAATATTTTGAATATTTATGTAACATTTTTTAATTTGTTATAGATCATTTATGTATTAGATCAAGCGGAAGAAGTAATAAAATTCACATTTATATTCACAGCATGTCTAATGACCTTACTGATTGTATGTTACTCCGGTCAGAGATTAATGGACGAGAGTCAAAGTATATTCCATCGATCGTAATAATTATTTTTTATCTTAATATATACTAGCGATTATAAAGCATTCTTTAAACAAAATTAATAATAATTTAATTATAAGCATATTCAATAGATTTAAAAGATTTTAATTCAACAATCTTCATTCTTTCACTTAAGATGAATATAATATAATTAAAATATATAATTAACACACGGAACATTAGTAATTTAATTAATATAATTTTTACAAATATTTAATAATTTTCTGTAGAAAATTCTAAAAATATAAAATCAGTTATTAACTTATGCTTACAGATGTGCTGCAGAATGGTACAAGTTCTCGCCTAGACTAAAATCTTTATTAATAATAACTCTTTACAGAAGTAATGTACCATGTGGATTGAAAGCAGGTAATATGGTTCCATTATCCATTGCGACTTTCGCAGCGGTAAGTAAAATGCGTAAAAATATAAAGCTATTTTTAACAATGCTGTGTGTGCATGCGTGTGTACATGCGAGCGTATGTACGTGTGCGTATGCATGTGTATAAGGAAAGGTGGAGGAATTACGCGAATCTAAAGGAAATTATTATGTGTGAGGTAGTTTTGAAATTAAAATCGATATAAGGGAATCCAAACTATAAATATGTATTCCTCTATTTCATATTGAACAATTTTTTATTTAATAATATTTGATAAAAAATAAAAAAAGCAAATACGAAAAAAAATTTCCCTCGTGTCGAGTAATTGTACGCATAGGTTGGGCCCAAAGCAATAATATAATCGTAGGAAATTAATGAATAAAATTAATGTTTCACGGAATGTTGATAAGGAAATGAGATCAAAATATATTTATTAATCCAATGTTAATACAAAATTAACCCTGATAACCTTATAGTCCTGTGTTATTGCTGCCATGTTGTCGAAAATAAAGCTCATTAGTTTTCAGCAGATTTAGAACAAGGTGTATAAGTCATTTGCCTGTGGTATGACATCACGTGAATTCAACATGTGTTGCTGTTAATTTGCCGTGTATTTGCTATCAACGATTTATCGCTGTGCATAAAGAACAATATGATGGCAAATTGCTAACAACACGTGTCTAATCATATATTTCAGCAAAAATGCAACATGGCGAAAACGATTAGGGTGTAAAATTGAAAATACTTTCCAACTTTCTTCATCATTATTTCTTGCATAATCCGATACAAAAATTTTTATATTTAAATGCATTTTTAAGAGTTTGAATTTTTGTGACTCATGGTAACAACGATGGACCCTGGTCTCCCCTATATAATTTTTGCACTTTTATCCTTTTAAATATTATAAAATAATAAGTAAATAAATCTTTCTTTCTAGCGAATTGTTCACCTTATTATCTTTAAGAATTACAATATTTAATTACGAAGTAAAGTATTGATAAGATGAACAATTCGACAGAAAGAAGAATTTATTTACTTATTATTTTATAATATTTAAGAGGAATAGGGGTGCAAAAAATATACATACATTCAATATTTTCGACATAAAAAAAATGTATACAGTTGAATATATTATTTAATTGCAAAACGATTATTAAGTTGAAACATATTGGAGATGGAAAAACACACACACACACACAAACACACACACAAAATATATATATATATATATGTGTATGTATATAATAATTTATGTCTCTTTTGTATTCCATTTAAGGTAATACGAATCGCCATGTCTTACTTTACTGCGTTTACATCATTCAAAGAGTGATTAATGAAGTTTCAATTACTTCCTCACCAATACATTCTAAATGTTTGATAAACTTTGATTATATATACAATGTCAATAAATTGTATTTCAATGATATATTTAGCTTTAATAATTCTTGAATTTAACTTTGATACAAAATTTATATTTCATTGAAATTATTCTACGTTCTGGAACATTCCAGCAAAATTATTGAAAATTTGCTGAAATTTCACTAAAAGTGAATTTTTTAGCTAATATATTGAAAAATTGTTGAAATTCTTACTGAAATTTTTCTAAAATCTTGCTGAAATTTTGCTGAAAAGTGTTCCAAAACGTGAAATAATTTCAACGAAATTTTTCCACCAGGGAATTTTATCTTTTTATTTACTTATAATTTTCTATATTACATTAAATTATGTTAAATTGTGAATTGATTTGATTTTATTGTACTTCATTATTTTCTCTTTTTAAACATATGTACTTAGCTCTACTCACAATCAGTTAAATTGTATAATATTCTAGCAAAGAAGTAGTTCTCAGTATAAGAAAACAGCACACGCGTACATTGCTATTACTGTTACCTTCAATCATCCTGTCATTCCAAGTATGATATGCTATAATATCTCTTTACTATACTTATGTTACTATGACATGTAAAACTAAAAAGATGTTTAACAGAATACTTTTAAAAATGAAGTGATAGTTTAATATCGACAAGTAGATATATTTCAATCATCGGAGAAACGAAATAAAGTAACAATTACTGACATTGCATGATATTATACTCTTATCCTGCAACTTGTTCAACAGTCAATACGATAGCATACGTTTATATCATTACGTTTTAGTATATCGGAGAGCGAGTATTAGTCATGCTAGCGAATTTTCTACGAGAGTATAACGTAAACCGAGTATTTTTATCGATCTCAGGTCTCTGGCTGTTTCAAAGTAAGAATGTAAGGAATTCATTAGGGACTGTCTGCTTCCTAATGGAAATAAGTTACTATCCGTTTGAGGTAATGCGTATCGGTCGATATATAATTGATTTAATAAAAACACATCCTACTGTCATTCATAACGATCTGTCTATCAAAATATTATTATTATTGTAAAACAGATGTATAGTAATATTGTTATGAACAATTTTTATTATTATAAGATATAATTTATAATATAGCAGGGTATAATATAGCATAAGGTACATAAATAATAGATAACAAATAACGGTTAAACAAGTAAAACGATTTTATACAATTGATCTTATAACTATACACTTGTAATGCATTTACGAATCATAATTAAACATATGCAGATACTACTACTGTATGATCATTGGGGTGATCCACAAATGGTTGTAGATGCCTGCTATCAATTTATTTTCACGACTGCTTTTGCCGCAAGGGTATTACATAATATTTGGAATCAAGACAGAGTAAATTCACAGATTTTTTAATATCTTTTTTTATTTTAATTGTATTGTCATTATTCCTTTTCGTTAGGAATCTTTTGTTAGAAAATTATTTTACATACAATATGTTTGTACAAATCGTATCCATTTATTATAAACAGTTGCGACAGTTGTGTATAGCCATTGATAAACACTGGGACATATTTACAAGTGATGCGGAAGTTCAAATCTTGAAACATTACGCTATGCTGTCACGAAGGTTTACAACAGTTTTCTCGAGTAAGTACGTTATATAGAGTAATTATGTCGTATAAACAAAATAAACTATAATTTTATGATCTAAAATGAATCGAAACTATAAGTATAGTGATATGACAATTGCTACGTTGTAAAGTTAAATTATGAAAAAATGGCGTTAAATAATATTTTTGTTATATAATAATAGATTTTTTAAAAAGAATAATAATGTTGTAAAATACTTTAGATATTAGTGTACACAAAGACATATTATTCTTTCGAAATGTTGCAGCGATATTGTTTTGCACAGTGTTAATATTTGTGGCAATACCATTAATGCCAGTATTGTTAGATACAGTACTACCTCTTAATGAATCACGTCCGCGAGTCTTTGCGGTCGAAGTCGAATTCAGAGTGAATAAAGATGATTACTTTTTAATAATGTTTTGTTACACTACCATTGTAGTTATAATAGGTTTGAACATTTCAATTGGTGTTGATACATTGCACATAGCCTGCACCGCTCATGCATGCAGTTTATTTGCCGCTGTCAGGTAGATCAATTAAATATGGTAAATAATATTATTATAAGTATTGTATAACCTTAAATTTGTATACATATTCCGTTCATACATTTTATGATGTATATGTTTCATTTTTCGTATACACACATTATACATATATTTTATTTAACTTTTGCGAGACATCATTTTTACAGTAAACAAATTGAGAATATAATTTCCAAAGCCTATAATAACAATAAAGTCAGCAAATGTGGATATCGTGTAAATATGGAACTTAATCCATTTAATGAGGAAATAATATACCGGGAATATATAATATGTTTAAAGAAATATCAGCTTGCTATAGAGTAAGCAAGTTTTATCGCTATATCGTAATTGTTTTTCTATAAATGAAATGTCTCCTTCTTTCTCCCTTCCTTGAGCCTCAATGGATTATTAACGTGACTTAGAAATTTTTAATCTAGATTTGTTAATATATTGGAATCATCATTTCAAGGACTTTCATTACTTTTATTACTATTAATGATTGGAAATATAAGTCTAATCGGAGTCCGAGTAAGTATTATAGAAATTATTTCTATAAAATATCCGAAGAGATATCCCGAAGACATATTTTAGAGGAGTTGTGGAATTACAAATAGATTTACTAATAACGGATTACAAATATGCAATCATACAAAACAATCAAACTTAATTGCTGTGATACAAGCTTAATCGCATTGGTCGAATAAACGCGTTCGTCTGTTGTTCGTTGGGCGAGTGTATTTTATTTGAAGAATTGAATCGTTTCGAATCTATATGAATTTTTCTTGTATTATTCTAATATAAATAAATCAAATAAACCTTCATTTCATCCAATATTAAATCGAGCGAGTTTCTCAAATCTTCGCGCTACTCAAGAATTTAATGAAACAACAAATTGACACTGCGGCAAATTCGAATCTACTTCAGTAGTGTTTTGAGATGTCAATGGAGCAATTTTTAACTTCCCTGGCTCAGACCAAACAACAGTTGGCTTAGGAATAACAGCTTATTCTTCGTCAGCTATCCGAATCGCAAAAATAAATTGAAATTCTACTATCCCAAAAGGAAGGTTCTGTTTCATGCTCCCAATCTCTACCAATCGCACTGCGGACCTGTCGGCGAAATTTTCTCTGTTCTAATTTATCAACGCGGCTGGGTAAATTCGTCCACGATCCTACAAGATGTAAAACATTTTCCTTATATTGTAGTATGAATGTCATGCTGGCATTTTTGAAAAAGGTTTGAAAGGTTTGTCCAACGAAGAGGGTAAGGAATTACTTCTCATTGCGCTCGGCGATGACGAGTATCAATGTTTGTTCGCACGTCTATCTCTTAAAAAAACCTGCTTAAGGGTTTGCCTTTCAATAATCTTGTCGCGCATTTGGCAATAGTAGATGATAGTATGAATATGTATGAACACATATTTTATTGTATATATAATTATATATGTTTGTAAATATTTATGTTTATACATATTAATACATTATTCATGCATGAACAATTTTTTATCAGGAAGCCATATCTCGATGCGATTTTTTTCGTGACCAGACGCTTCAGTTTGCTCTCCTTCTTTTTATTTCATAATGCTGCAATGGCTCACCTTGCTTCTTTCCACTGCTTCTATGCATTTAATAACGCGTGGTAGGGGAAGAATGGGAGTAGTTGCCGTAGTAGTTACTATGAAGCTACAGCTATCAGCAACTACCCTCATTCTTCTCTCACCACGTGATGACCTTCTATTACCAAGTGATAACGCAAGCCAGAATCTGGGTCCTATCTCCTCTTCTGTCAAAAGATACGCGACTTTTCACGCAAGGTAATATCTACTGTATAACTTAAGGCCATGGCACACAAAAAAACTGGAGCAATAAAACATAAGCAGTAAGAGAATTATTAACCAATCATAATAGAATCCATGACGTAAGCAGTAGCTAATCTAACTGTTGTTACCTTACTGCTTACATATTGTTGCTTTATGTTTTCTGTGTGCCATGGCCCTTAGTTAATAAACAGTGTATAATTTCGTTTCTGTTTGATCTCCTTAAATATATTAATTGTAAATAAATAGAGATAAATCATTTTGTTATTATCATTTCCTATCTTAGTTAACAATTACCAACGTGTAATTTCGTTTCCATCCGATCTCCTTTTGTTAAATGTTAAGTTATAAATAAATGAAGATCGACGTCGAATAACTTTGTCATTATCATTTCCTAGCTTAGTTAACAAATATCAGTGTATAATTTCATTTCCGTTCGATCTCTTCTTGTTAAATATTAATTATAAACAAATAGACCTAAATCGCTTTTTCATTATCATTTCCTAGTTTAGTTAACAATTACCAGTGTAAATTAAAGCCAAAGCGAATTAAATTTACATCGCGGGCGGAGCCAACTTAGGTAACTTTCCAAAAACCGAGAAGAAAATCCCACCAACCTGATTCCTCGATTTCCCAACTAGACATATCCTACCAAAGAACCATCTCCAAAAAAATTGCCTATATAAATCGCGACATCGTGAGATACAAACAGAAAATAAGAGAGCGGAGAGAACAAGAGAGCAAAGAATGAAGAAAAAGATCAAGAATAAAATTTCAAATTCGCCCTTACGTAGTTAGAGTCTGTGCGCGATCTTTACAATCGGGTAAACATCACTATCTTTTTGGTTCCTGACACCTGGTATAAATATTTCAACAGCAGAAAATTGTAGTCTTTTATTATTATCATTATTATTTTATTTTTCTCCGAAATTAAAATAACTCACTAAAGAGAGTAAATAATTCATTAGTTCAAATAATGTTTTATTAAATATTCAAATAATATTTTCAAAATCGACGGAATAAACATCTCCCTCTCTTCTCCTTTCCGTATTTAGTCGCTGTCGATTTTTTTTCATGACCTCTTCTCCCCTTTATTTGTCATGAACTGAATTAATTTCCGTATCGCCTCTCCGTTTGCACACACATTACAGATTTACTAAATTAAATCAATATATGAAAATATATTTATCTGGCAAAAAACATATATACTTGCTTCTTGTAACTAATTAATAATTTTGCGATTAATAATTTAAGTAACTAACCGCGTTTTATAAAGTACAACTTTTTGTTAAATAGCTCATTATAATTAGTGTATAGAAATAAATGTGTTAGATTACTTTTATAATATGTTACAATGATAATAGTTACAAATACAGATACAATTTTCTTAAAATATTGTAATACTAAATAATTTTTGTTTAATAATAAATTAGAATATTGTTAAAATATGACTTGCATCAATTTCTATTTATTTTAGAATCATAAGACCTCGTACTTACTCCTATCGCCTGTCAGAAATCGCACATGATCCGGTCCCGAGTTATAAGGATTAAATTTCCAAGATTTCTTGACTAAAAATTTTGATCGACGTTCGCATTACTCATCAGAAACAGGTGTTATCCCTTCAGGACGTTGACTCATATTCGAGAGCGCTAAAAAATGCATTCAATTCCATACACTTGCACGCGAGAGACAAAACGTCTGCTCTAATATTCTTCCATATTTCATCCATTTATTACTTTTTTCTTTAAACCAATCCACTTATATATTCGGAGTTTGGTAACACTTACTTTAATGCGTTTACATCATTCAAAGAGTGATTACTGAAGTTTTAATTACTTCTTCACCGATTTTAAATGTTTGATAAACTCTCTCTCTCTCTCTCTCTCTCTCTCTCTCT